CAGGGCACACACAGCCCGGGCCAGGGCAGGGGCACCCGCGCTGGTGCCGGCCGCAGCGCTCGGGGAGCGGGTCCGAAATTGCGTCCCCACCGTGTTCTACAGTTGCGTTTGGAACAGAACTTTACACACACGGTATGATTTGGCAATCTTTATATCCACAATACATCATAACCATGCACAAAAATCAAGTGATGTGTGTATTTACAGAGTGAATTGCACTTAACACAGGAACCAGGAATAAAAGTAAATGAAAGGAACCTCTCTTCTGGGTTGCATAAAGGCCCAGCGCTATTTATAGCCCACGAAGCCTGATAGACAACACTACTGTGCATTACCTGACCAGTTTAAAATGAGAAATTACTGTTACTTACTGAAACAGTGCAGCCCTGGAGATACCCATTTCATTGCATCATTCCATTAATCACCATTCAAACTCTATTATCTATTAAGAGTCTATTAAGAGAGTCTGCAAGTCAAAAGAATCCAACCTCAGCCCTGACTCACTGTATTTTACTTGAAGGACAGTTAGTCTTCACCTCCAATTGCTTGATTTTTCTTTTCTTATTTGAAATTCAGGCCCCTACCTTTAATACTGTTTTTCCTAGGGTTTTTTTTAATGAAGGAAAGAGGCCTCCCTAAGTGACTGAGTCACTTCACTAGGATCTTTTTTCTTCTACAGAGTCCAGAACCTCTAAGCAAGTTCTTCCTTCATGCTTGGAAGGGAAACAATCACCGAGCACAGGTAAGACTCAACCATTAACAGCCCACAAATCACATCCACAACTCTGGAAGCATGCAGGAATCAAAGCGTCAGGAAGTAAAAATACCTACTGTACATTTTTCCAAGCAGCTTTTGGTAAGTGACCGTCTCAAAAGGCACAGACCAATCCTTACCATCCTGGCACGTCCAGCTGAGAGCGCTCTCCTGTTCACACAAGAAACCGCATTACCAGCCTTTCCACATACTGTGGGGTCATTACAAGTGATCTAACAGCACAGCACCCAAACAGGGGATCTCTACACTGCAGCAATCCTCCTCCTGCTTCTAACCTGCTCAAAGTGCTGAGAAGCAGCCGCAGGGGGAAGAAGGGATCATAGTGCCTTCTCCTTCTACCAAATTTTCGTGCTCTCCACAGCATGCACAAAAATCTTTTGAACGAAGTAGCAAGCAGTCACTCATCAACTGGATTTTTACATTTATACAAGTATAGAGCTTTAAAACTTTCCTATGAGCCAAACTTTCTTGTGCTGTGCAGGCAACAGACAAACTCTCAGGTGGAGATCCCAGACTTTAACTCACCTAGTCTGTAAGCAGCTGACTCAATAGGAAAAGAAGTTAGACTGAGGCAGTCTACCCAATGAATTTATTTTACCAATTACCTGTTTGTGTGCTCACCACCAAATCACTTCTGATGTGTGAATTTTGGCCTTTACTCTCCCCATAATTAACAGGGTAGTTCACAGAAAAGACCCCTGTCTAATTCTACCTTGGAGGACCTGTTCTAAATATCAGCAGGAGCCTTCAACTGAGGTTTATATTACTGACACTGGGTGGTTAGCACCCAGTGCTTTTTAGTGTTATTTTTCAACAGTTAAATGAATGTCATCCTCAACATCCAAGTAAAGCAAGTATAGCACATGTTCCTTCTTTCACAGGCAGCTTCCCTGTCATCAGGAGTTTTACATAAGCCAAATTCTGCCTTCAAACCTCTTATGGCAGACAAAAGAGAGCTGCAACCTTTTCTGTTTTCCTGGCAGTAATACTGAGAGACGCAGAGCCAGCGAAGTTGCAGTATGAAGCAGTCCAGGTGAGGTTACACTTAACAGTTATTTTCACATCAGGAAAGCATGGTTAAGGAGTCTGGCCTATCGGAGAGCTGCTTTGAATGTCAGACAGCTCTTCAACAGCTCAAGCTTCCTCAGGATTCCTCCACGTCTTCCCTCTGCAATTTCAGTAGCCATCACCAACAGTGGGCTGGGTTGTAGCTACAGCTTGAGGAGTGCGCAGTGCTTTCAGCAGGACACCAGGGTACTCAAGATCAAAAGCATTTTCCCCTGTCTATGCACAGAAGATGGTTTTACCAGGCAGAACTGGTCCACTGTCCTTTTTCTATTGGCACTAATGGCCCTGTGCTTAGACTAGGCAAGCGTGTCTCAAACGCACAGAAGGGCTGTGTCTCTAACTGCCTGGAGAGCAGCACAGCAATCTGGGAAAGAGAAATAAACTGAGTGACCACAGCAGATAAAACCACCACTTAGCTTACAGCACTCACATAAGCTGTGTGTGTGTACATGTGCATGCACACACACGCTTCCCACACCTCAGGTATACCAAACAGTCCTGCAGCAAGAGGTCTTTCCACGTCACACAACAGATCTCAAAAACAACCCAACCCCCGGCATGAGCAGTATGGGTCCAAGGTCCACCTGCTCTAAGGGGGCTTTGGTCAGCGCACAATGAAGCTGTACGAGGTCTCTTCAATACCCATTCAATTTAGCAGCACTTAAGCCCTAGACATGAACCTTTTGTTGGGAGTCTGAGGCATAGTTTAGAGCCTTCCACAAAAGTCAAAGAGTAAAGAAAATCTTTTAAGAGACAAGGAAGTGACTAAACTGCTTCTCAGCTTCTTATACCAGGCCAGATTGATTATAGAAACTTCATGTTAAGAACAGGATTTGCAGAGTAAACATGTTAATACATCACCCTGAACTAGTAAGTCTTCTTAACAGCATGATTCTTCCTCACACTATTCAACTCATTTCTTTATAAAATGTTTTGTTCAAAATTAAGGAGCCCAGCTCCACTAGTCTCCACCTGTTCTTGAATGAAATATTTTCAATATCTCAGAAATTTCCATTCTCTCTGACGGTGTGCTCATCTGCCAGCCTTCTAAATACTGACCGCACATCACATTCTGGTCTAGGACCACCAAAAAGGAGACATCTCCAGCTCCCAATGGCCGCACCTTCTCTCAACAGAATGCTATTAAAGTAAATACCAAGTGTTGAAAGTGCTTCCCAAACTGAGACACCCTTAGGACAGAGCACTGTGATGCCTAAAAAGGAATTCATATCCTCATTCAATGGGATTAGGCTGCAAGCATGCACCCCTTCACCTTGAATGTATCCTCTAAGGAAAGTTGAAAAGTGGAAGTGCTAGGCACCACGTGCACCCTTTGCTGTGAACTATAGCCCTCTAGTGCATTCAGTACAAAATTAAAGGCATTGGTCTAGAAATCCTATAAAAGAAAAGCCATCAGAGTTAACCGCCCTTAGTTTTATTACATAACCAGACAGAACAGTTGAGACTGGAATGTCAGATTTCCCCTTCAAGCACAATTCAGTTTCATATTTGCTTTGTATCAGGAAAAAAAAAAAATCAACTCACTAATATGCAGGTAGGATTCATCAAGTGAGGTATGGTCTCAGAATACAGAGCAAAAATTCACTGCAAATTGCTTCACTAGCTTTCAGAGAGCAGCAGATGGTCTCCAACTCTTCCTGTAGATAGTTTCACCCAGTATTTGCCTCATCACAACATTCAGCGTATACCGGAGGGGATGCAAGTGTGTAAGAGCTAGTGAATGATGAAAAGCCATCATAGAAGATTTTCACAAGCTAGCAAGAGACTGACGACACAAAGTTATGGTAACATTCTTCCCATTCAGCAAAACAAAAGTATTATAGTAGTTAGCCCTGCTGATGACAAATCTGTTACATCAGGTGAAGTACAATCATTTGAGAATTACAGTCTGCAATTCAGTAAAACAGAATAAGAAGGAAACAACAGGTTAGTAGTTATTATGTGAAATCTTAATATTATGCATTTTAGTAGAGGTCAAGAAGATTATGCACAAGGTCAATAGTGAAAGGTCATGAAGAGAAAGTTCAAGATGCTATGGTTCTGCAGAAGTTTTACAAAATGTATAAAGTATTGTGTTTCTCTACAACAACCAAAACCCTTACAAGTGCAGGTATATACATGACATGAAAATATTGCTTCACTCACTCAAACAGGGATAGGAGAGATCTAGAGAAAAAGCAGCATGCAAAAAAGTCCTGGAACTATAGAAGATCCTGCTTTCAGACACTGATCTACAGTACAAAATAAGCCTACTTGTACAGGTTGCAAAAGGTTTCCGAAATCAATATGCTGGCACTTACTGTACAATAATGTTAACTGATTAACATAAGCCATGAATAAATATTAAGCCACTTCATAAAGCCTGCACAAGCAGCACAGGCATTCATGGTGGCAGAGAAAGCAATGCAGACATACTTCATTGTTCCCAAATAAGAATAGAGAAAGATTTCCCAAGCAGGAAATGGTAAACTATGCAGCCAGACTAACTGTATTAGGGGTAATTACATAATAAGTAATGTTATTTTCAACAGCTTTCTTATGTGTGTGCAGCCACTAAAAACCTCACTGTGAGACTTTATCAAGACAGAAAACAGAGCATTTGGTAGGATAGCTATTTTCTTTTCAATTTCTCCCCCATGTTTACAGAAACACAAGAAAAAAAAGAATCTGACTATGGGAGGAAAAAAACCTTGTCACCTAAATGTAGTTATTTCTTCAACTGTTATAGTCAAGTCCCCATGGTTTCTCTCCCAGAAAAAAAAACCCAAAACCATCTGAGGAGAGTGTTTCATGGGATAATATGCAGCAGCAGATGTTCCAACACAAACATGTCTATCAGATCAGTGCCTACATTTCAAGCCCAAAAGTCACCACATTGAAGGGAATTTCAGAGGCAGGGGAACGTTAGCCCTACAATTAAAGCTCTAAGATGAAAGGGGGGACTTGGGAATGGGGTAAAGGAGGGAAGAGGGAGTCACTGAATCACAGGAGATAAGAAGTGCACACAAGTTTCTAAATGAAGCACAGACGAAGTGAAGGGCACAAGAGTCATCTACAGGAGGTCACAGGTTCTGACAGCACTGGAGTTTGTTGGATTTCTGTCCATCCGTGGTTGGTGGGACACTGATGTCGACTACATTGTTGCCAGGAGACTCATCATGTGCAGACCGATCTGCAATCTGCTTCTGAGAAACAATGCGGTAGATTTCTGAAATGAGAACAGACTTGTTAGAGCCCAGAAAGATATTGCCTCCAATGGAGCACATGCACATGTCACAGCAAGCTGTCAAAGAAGATGCTAGAACCCAAGAATGAGATTTTAACTTGAGACCTGTGAAGGGAATCTAGTCTGACCAGCTGTGGCATATAACATCTGACTGGCTTTCCAGCTCTGTAATGGACACGCCAGCTCTGTCTGGGAAAGTTATTAAGACAAGATTCCTGACTGTCTTCCACAACAGTGCTTCCTATCACATTCTTTTTCAATGACTCCATGAACATGGGTATTATTAAAAGGCTTTTTAAACGAGAAAGGATCAGGAATGCTCATTTCTAAAGTAGGGAATCATCTTATTTTTGATAAGAAAATGGGCAATAATCTAGAAACACCAATCAACAGGATGCTTGCAAAACATCATCGTGCAGCAGCAGTGATGGTTATCTATTTCACACTTTACCTTCTGGCAAGCTGCTACTACCAAATGACAGAAATGCCTACTCCTCTCTGCAACAAATCCATTTTCCCACCTATGACAGTAAAAAGCCACATGATTCCATAAAGCCCCATATTGATCCAAAAATGCTTTTCCTGAAAGAATTAATTTATTTGACTCTAATTTATGCCTGAAAGCACACAGATCCACAAAGCTGTAACCACTGAATAGAGACTGCTAGGTTAAAAGCTTTCAGGAACAAAACATTTCAACTCCATAGTTAGTAGAAATAATTTAAGTTGAAAGGTTCTTAAATTACTTATTTCACTGACTATAAGCCCTTGTTCCAACTTCCCTCCATTGTGAGACAGGAAAATGGCAAGTACCTCCCTGGAAGTCTGTGGTAAATATTATGGTCACATTCATACAATCACAGCCTCAAAACAGCAACACCCAAAGTCTTTAGTAAGGATTAAAAATCATGGGGGACTATGTGGGTTCTGTTTATGTTTTGGTTTTGTATTTGTTTTTGTTTTTTTTTTTTTTTTTCCCCTAAAGAAGCTGCACATATTTACATTGTTTAAAATGGAAACCTTTCACCCAAGACTGATCTCACCAGTGGCTGCCTTCAGCTCTTTTTGCTGAAAGGGATGAGGAGAGCTGGAGGGAGATTGCCACATCCCCCTTCTTCCGTCCTCAGTGGTGTATTTTAATACTAGCTGTTCAGAGCCATTGCCAAGCCCTCTTTTATTTGGGGTAGCATCTGTTTGGGTTTGGTGGTTTGTTGTTGTTCCCCCGCCCCCTCTTTAGTGATCCCTCAAACTGGTGGCCAGTAAGGAAATTGCTCTCCTGCTGCTCCCACCCTCTTTCCTCCTCCAAGTTCCTGTGGTTGCTCCCAACTCACTGCTCTACACAGCACATTTTCCCACGTTTCTTCTCCTCCCTTCGAAGGATGATTTGCCCCCAGGTAATCACTTCAGGAATAGCCTTTTCGGGACTACTCAGTCTTACTAACCAGATCTCCACTGTACCTGAACTGGACAATCTCAACACTTTTGGGAGCCCAGGATGCTGCTAAGAGATAGTGTTTTGAGTTCAGTTTGCTCAGGCTTGACCTCAGCTCAAGTTCCAGCTCCCTACGTATCTTATCTGTTACAGCAGACCATATTGGGGATCTCTCCTAGAGCAACCTTAGCCATCTTCTCTACCCAGGGTCAGTCTCAGGACAACACTGCAAGGGAAGACAGGATGGATGGCGACCGCTGAACTACGCTCAGAGCACTAAAACTATGGATACCATCTCAGAGCGCCAGGCAAGTTGCCTCAGATCCAGCCAAGTGTCACAGATAAGCAGTGAATCTGCTATAAGGCTGCCCTACGCAAGAGACAGTCCGAGCTCAGGCACCAGGCGGTCTTCTCTACAGCTTTGTCTCAACAGCAATATTCTCCAGCTGCTGCACCAGTAGCTCTAATAACGCAAATCTTGCTAGGCAGCAAATATAACCCACTCCTAGTCTGTCAGGCTTTTTACTTATAGGAGCAGCTTGGCTATCCTTTTTCTCCTGCCTGCCACTTCTTGGTCATCTTCCTCTAATTGCAACACGTTGCTGGTACCAACAGAGTTGGCCAGCACCAGACCTAGTGATCCCAACACTTCTTACTGCTTTCTTGCACACCTCTGCAAAAGAAACCTAAAAGAGCCTGCCTTACAGAATTCACCATATTAAAATTCAGTAATAGGCTCTTATTCATAATCAAGAAACAATAATACAAAGCCAATTCTTTGGTCAGCATCCAATAAGCAACATACACCAGACACTTCCTGATAATCAAGCAGAACCAGAGCAAAGGCTCCTTCTCATTTAACTGGAATCAGTCACAATAAAGCTCAGAAAATGCTCATCTTGAGATGTTGTGGGACGTGTAAATCAGGCACAACTTCACAAAACAGTGTACAGGGATGTATACATACTGTATACAGTTTATCAGTCTAGAATTCAGCTATGGTAAGCAATAGTCAGGAATTGGATCTTGCCCACTCTTCATGTTCACAGTATGGATCTTAAAGAGCTTTTCAAGAGACAGAATAAACACACTGACAATTGTATGGTGTTTTCCCCTCTTTAGGACGAGATTCAGATCTCATGGGGCAGCCAGAGGTAGAACAGTAATCCAATACCTGTTTGATAGCCCTCTTCCTATTTAGATATGATTTTTAAGGGTTCTTTGCCAATTACCAATTACTTCATTTTAGGAGTGGAAGACTATGTTTTGAAACATCAACTTCCCTGTCGCTTCAAACAATATTTTGAGATATGACTACCACAGAACACAGAATGGAAGGCAGAGTCTCTGAAAGCAGAGATGCTCAAGTTTATCAGGGTTTGTTAGATCCAGCTCAGCAGTCCTGCAGGCCCATGCCGGTTTCCTTCAGACACCCTTGTGTGCGACAGCACCATGCTTCCCAGGACTCCGCTTCTGAGGATTAGCTCAGGCACAAACCTACCCAAATGCAGAGTCACCTCAGACTGGTGCCAGAATAATACATCCTCTGGAACACAAAGTGCTAAAACATACAGTGCTGACACACTCATACAAACTAAAGTCTAACTAAAGTTAGAGTAAGATTAGGCCAAACCGCAAGTTCAGGAAAAGTCACCCTCCCCAACTGAAGTAACAACACAGAGATCAGCAGCACTTATTTTAAGCATCTCTCTTGCTCTGTGTGCTTCCCACTTCCACTGCCTGTAGGCTACATATCTCCCAGCACGTCCTCACCACTTCCAACCCTGTCCTTCCTCCTTCTCCTACCTCATGACCATACAACTCAACACTTCTTGGCCAACCTCAGTTTGAAGGAAATCACTGAGTTCCCCATGTGCTGCATCTAGCCTAGAACAGAGCTGCACTCTTCCAGAGGCCAAATGAGCACTCAGCTCAAATTTGCAAAACACCAGCAGGAAATCCCTGTGAGCCTACTGACAAAAGTGCTTTGGCCATGGCTTAGCACAGTAAGGAGGACTTGTTTATCTACAGTAATAAAGCTTTACTGGTGAATTGTAGGCCTCGTGCAGTAGCCTGCTCCCTTACTCCAGGGCCAAGAAAATGCATGCAAGCAACAGCTTTACCTTAAGGAATAGACATTCTAAGCCCCAGTCTGAAAGAGGAAAAAAGCAAGTAGTAGAATACTACTACCTGGAATACCTCTGATACTACAGGCAGTGGGCCTACTGCACGAGCTGTGTAGCATTCCCATACATACAGCAAGTCTGAAGCTGCAACTGAACACTGTGCACTCAGTAGCCACATCTACAGCAGTTATACATGCTGAGGAAAATTCTTGAGCAGTGGAAATCATAAGCCCTGGCCTCATTTTGGCCTGTGACCACTATCATATTCTTAAGACAATTCCCGAGACTCTTCAGGGACACTCCCAGAAGGCAGCCTGCATGGCAGCTATGCTGTTGGTGCACAGTCACCTACAACCCTTGCCATCAGCTGAGAACAAGAGTTCAGTAGTCTGGACAAAAATATTATGTACCAGCCTGCTTTGGTGCAAGAGCACACACTGGAACATTTAACTTCCTAGCATGGCTGTGGCTTCACTGCCTAGATTTTGTGCAGGCACAGAACTACCAGTGCCTTTACAACAGCGCTATTGCAATAGCTTGAATCTATGGAACATCAGGAGACTAGAAACCCCCAGATTCTTGGGCAGAAAGGCATGTGTGGGGTGGGAGGCAGAACGCAAAGGTAAGATTAGAAGGCTTGCCAACTATCATTCCCAACATTCATTTCCAAAACATTCTAGATAACTGCAAAACTTGCCCATGAAGAAGATCCACTACCTCAGGAGGTTCTCTGAATCCGTAACAAACCATACCTGTAAGGATGTTCTTGAAGGCTTCTTCTACATTTGTTGAATCCAGAGCGGAAGTTTCAATAAAAGATAAGTTATTTTTTTCTGAAATAAATAACAAGTGGTTCAGTTAAAATGTTTAATAGCACTTTATTTCACCTTTACTTCGAGTTTTCACCTTTATTTTTAGGCCAAATCAGCCGCGGCACAGTCTTCCCCC